GCTTGACAGACTGTGGTCTTACCACAATCCATTTCTCCCAACCCTCTAGACAGTGGGGCTCCCAGGTGTGCACGCACCTGGCGTGGTTCAGGTCAACTCTAGGTCTGAGCCGAAGCTGACTGTGTGATCCCAGCACTGCAGAGCAGCACTCTGCCGCCTGCACCACCACAGCTGGGGCCTGCACCACCACAGCTGGGCCCACTGCTGGCTTTTATTTCTTTTGTAAGTGTTTATAACTCTTGGATTCATCTGCTAATTTTGTAACAGAAGCTATAAGAATAGTATGAGAACTCTGGTGTGCCCTTCGTCAGATTCTCCACTTGCTTATATTTTGTCTCATTTGTCTCCTTCCTTATCTTCCTTATGTATCCACTTACCCACCGTCATCCATCCGTCTGAGAGGAGGGGCGAGGCCGTGCCCACTGCCCCCAGATAGTCAGCACGTACTTCCTGTATAGCCACAGTCCACCCACTCAAGTCAGGATGTGCTGCGTCCTACCCACAAGTCCTTCTCCATTTCTGCTTTTGTCTCAAAAGGAAAGAATGAAAGCCCAACAGCACCAAGCATCTCCTTCCCCTCTCCGATCTGGTGTCCCATTTTATTTGGTCCTCACACTCCAGTCCTCAATTCTCCATTCCTTAGTCTTTTCCTGCTTTCTGTGACACTGACTTTGGAAGTACCGCCAGCTATTTTGGAGAATGTCCTCAGCTCGTTTCTCTAATGTTCCTTAGGATTCCATTTAGGTGATGTGTTTTGGGCAGAAATACCACACATGATACTGGATATAAGGCAGAGGTCTTCCCTGTCTTTAATTTATGTTAGTATGGAATCAGGGGTTCCTGTTAGCGGGTCGTCGCCCACTATGGCCACTTCTTCTGATGCCTTTGTCCCTTCGGCATGTCTCTGAGCACTTCCTTGCCGTCTGACACAGTGAGGTGCCCAGGTCCATGCTGTAACCCCCCACCCCTGCCGCAGGGGGCACACACATACTTTTCCACATATTACTAGAAACTAGTTTCACACCAATGTCTCTGTTACGATCCAAACCCCAGGGGTTACTCTGGCGCACCCTCGTTTAGCAGTTCCCGTTACCGATGGGCAATATGTTCCCGATCCCCAGTGGATATCTGAAACTGCGGGCAGTCCCACACCCACGGTATATGATGATGCTTCTACACATGCATACCTGTGAGAAAGTTTATTAATTAGGCGCAGTAAGATTACTAATAAGAGAACAGTTAACGTGATGAAAGAAAAGGTTATGTGATGAGGTCTCCCGAAGTACTATTCCTAGGTGATGAAAGCACGAAGATCCACTGTCGTGTGAGGTCAGGAGTTCAGCATCCTTAGAGCCGGGGCTGCAGCTCCTGTTGCATCTGTTTGCTGAGGTTGGGTTCAGGGGCACGTTACTGCTGAGTGAGGAGAGGCACCCATGGGCAGGCCGTTCCCCCAGGTGGTGCCATCACTCCTGTAGGCCCCACTAGCTGAGAAAAAGTTACTCCTGCCTCTAACGCCCGTGTCAAAAATGAGCATATCCTGGGAACCAGCAGTTAGCGTAATGGCTGTCGCTGGACTCCCACATAGTCGACCACAGTTCGCGTCCCAGACCCGGTGGCTTAAAACTCACACCGGGCACATGTGCGTGCGTGCCCAAGAGGAGAATGGAGGAGAAGGGATTGTGGCGTGACCATCCCCCCTGGGGGGTGATTTCTCGCTTTCTGTCTCTATGTCTCTCTCTGTCTGTCTGGTGAGCGCACATGCCCTATAGTGAAAACCCCTCCCCGCCCCCCCCCCAAAAAAAAACGAGCATATCCAGGCATTACACTGTCTCTCCCCTTTCCTCAGTGTTCGCTTCACTAATGGGCAGGCTCTTGCAAAAACTGACCTGTAAGGCCTGAACTTAATGATCTCAGCTCAAGGATCCCAACAGACAAAGCTTTTTCCAAGAGTTCCCCTTTTCCTAATCCCAAAATTCAATGTAATCCATAAATTCTTACACACTTTCCCCCATATTTTATCAGCTGGGAGAGGCGATTTGGATAATGGTATGTTTCATCCTTTGTGGCATCTTAAAGCTGGTGCATGCGGCAGCTTCTGTGCCCTGCTGTACCCATCCTTGACTGCCAAGGTAGGTCAGACCCATCAACACCTCCTTAGACACAGGGGCAGCATTGCTTAGGGGAAATCAGGAATGTTGTACCCAGAAAAGGCAGCCCAGGAACTAGTCACAGTCACCAATATCCCCCCGCAGGTCAGGGACCCTTGCAGGAGAGCACATAGAACAGCCCCCAGTTGAATGACCTGCAGTTGTGTGTAAAACCATGCACCCATGCA